GCTTTCTAATATACGATAGATGAATCATATTGATAAGCAGTCGAAATAGATTCACAATATTATTTTCAATTGACTAAAAGTGAATGTTATGAGAAAGGACGATCTCACAAGCATCAAGGCCATAGATCATGTACAAATCCGGAAGGACATGTCAGGCATGGGGCAGTCAATACCCGCACTCACATGACCTCGATGCTGCGTCATTTCCGGATGGAAGCATGACAGGTTCTTCCTGTAGAGACCCTTATCGTATGAGAGGAGCCCCCTGGTGTTTCACCCTTGATCCGGAAGTAGAATGGGAGATATGTGGCGTCGATATCTGCGACGGTAAATATATGTTAAGAAATGGTGCATTAGCTACGAGAAAATATCAAGGATTGCTTACCCGAACATGATATGACTTCCGTGGACTTTATATAACACACCTGACTCTAAATTAAAACTGTACATGTCACACTTAAAATCACGTGTACAGAAACGACCACATGAAATTTCATTTTCATTCTTGCTATGAATTCTGCTCAGAGGAGTTAACTTGTTAGAATTCTACTGAGATTGTATCAGCCATACATGTCTAACATGCTACACACGATGTTTATACGTATGCATATCTTATTGGATTATTAATTGGAATATCACTGTATGCTGACATTGGTATCTTCTTGTTGTTTTCATGAATGCATGTGTTACGTGAATCAATGAATCACAACTCATAATAATTTTTTTTTCAACAAACAAAACAGCAATGCGGATGGTAAATAAGATTGTACGATTTAAATGTTACGTCTTCAAGACAGTTGACGTCATATAAAAACAGTGTCCACAGATGATGAGGCCACTTATGGATGCATTTGTAGTGCCGTCATACTGAAATATCCTGATTCTTGTATCACTAACAAAGGCAAAGAATGCTTTAGTCTGAGACACGCGTTAGCTTATTCCTTTTACTTCAAGTAACAAATGCGCATGCGTTTGATATATGCGTTATGACATCAATTGTCAAAGATTTCGATTTAATTGTCTGTAGTTTCATTAAATACAGGTTATATTCTAACCCTATTTAGCTCGAACTTGTATGATTCAAAGACCCAGTTTAATTCGAAGCATTTCTTCGGTCCCTGTCTAACATTCCAACTCGAATCGAATACTCGGATATCTCGATTTTTTCTCATGTTCCCGCCGAGTTCGAGATAAAGAGGTTCGACTGTACATATGCACAAACTTTAAACCACGTCTCGGTATTATTTGCCTTCCATTTAAACTGGTTGTTCTTATGGGATCGAAAGATCGCAGGCATATTGTTTATGTGCTGTCTGTTGTCTACATTAACATTGCCCATAACTATAGCAACTTGAGAGGTAGGGATTTCATATTTAGCTTGTGTGTTCCGTTTCTGGTTATTACCCTCTGATTTTAATTTTGTTGCAACCAGGGCATATTGTTTCATAAATACATATTGTTGGACTTGGTGCAACTGCAAGGAAACAATTATACAATCTGCAACCATGTAGCGTATATATATATTATTGAATGCGGGTCAATGAGTAGATATTGTAAATCACTTTACACATTTATCATTTTTGCGAGTAGTCACATTTCAGCAGGCGTAAAACTCGATACATATCTTCATATATGTATATACACCAATATTATTATCATAGTATCATGGATACAACGTATTTTTATCTAGCGGATTCGAAATACGCACTCACAATCAATTTTTGCTATGTCCGCCGTTTGGTTCAAAAGCTTCTTTTACATAGAAAGAAACTGTCCTCAATGATACAATATGGCTGCGATTAGCATGAAAGACATGCACTTATTTTAAAAATAGCTATTTGAATAAAAAAAATTTACTCATAACGTTGGGGAAAAAAACAATCAAATAATGTCACGTTCTCAAATAAGAACAAGGTCTACAACAACATAATCACTAGATGTTATACCGAACATCACACCCGTGTGTGTGTGTGTGTGTGTGTGTGTGGGTGGGTGGTGTGGGTGTGTGTGTGTGCGTGGTTACTTTATAAACAACATTCAGAAAAATTAATTATCGCAAGTATTTCAGAAAGAAATTGTAGAATATTTACCTATGTGGTCATGATGACAATGAATAACAATTTTAATACAAATATAGTATTAGAATCGGTAGAACCAAACAATGAATTAACATTATCTCATATCAATACACTCAGTCATCATAACATATTAACTCGAGCGGAGACAGGAGTATCATGGCGGCAAACAGAATCATATATATATATAACATACATACACCGTTAATGCTATGTTACAGCCACAGAAATGAACCTTGACCGATTTAATGATTTCCCTGTTGGATAACATGTCCATTATACTTGTACTGTACTGCTTTGACTTTTAAAGAACAAATGTTGTATACTGTTATCTATGATGATAAACAATAGAATGATAGCACGTGATTCTACATGTGCTGAGTACACCGGAAGCTATGTACCGGTCTCTGCCATCTCACTTTAACCACAAAATCATGACCTTTGTGTTCGTTGCACTCGTTTACAATCTAAATAAAATTTGATGTTAGTATTTATTATACGCTATATTATAATGTATGTTATCAATTTTTATTGTCGAAACAAAACAGGAAATCGATATTGAGCAGCAAATATTTTTGGTTAATTTTGTGTTCTATTGTCATGCAAATGTTGTATATCTAAGATAATTCCCATTGTTTAACAATTCCAGGGACATTTGTTAAAATGTCCTCCTCCGTGAATGATTTCTGATATTCTGTTCTGTCAGGTAACTCCAAACCCATGTAAAATTCTTGTAAATAATAGCAAGTGGACAGCCAAAGGATATTGCCGACATTTCTGGCATCTGGATGCAATTCTAGCAGCCGACACTTGAATTAAGTCTAATGATAGAAAGTCATGTTTCAAAATAAAAAGTGTAGCTTTTCACAAAGTTTGAGTGATAAACGGAATAGTTTCTCCTAAGGTCTAGATAATCAATGTGCATTTACCTGGTGTTCTAATACTTTGAGTGGTGTTAGATACCTTGTCTCACAGCAGGACTCATATATTGGGTTACTCTAAAACAACAACCATATTTAACAAGAATAAGGCAACTAAGTCCAAAAAAGTAATAAGTATTGCTCCATCCAAGTAAGTAATGTTTCATGACGAGAACAAGGCATACAACAAAACTCACCTGCAAATAAACAGACTTCAAACACGTCCAGCTTCATACCTCACAAAGACGTAGACTAATTCTCAGTGAGATCATTATGATAACCGTAATATCTCTCACGATTTTCCAGCATTTCACCAAAAACCGAAATTGTTCATTTGTCTGTCAGTTGGCGACATCTTGCACGAGAATCGTGATATTTGGAACAGGTCCTTGAATATTGCAACATGTAAACACCATACATAGGGATGTTGCTATCAAGAAATAGAAATTTCACAAGAGGGAAATTGAAATATATTATAATACCAGTGTTGTAGTTGTAGGAAAGGACCGATGTAGGAGGCCGATATAGGAGTGCAGGTCGTTTTCTAGATTCTGGTGGGTACATATGACGGACATGGCCTATAAATCGTTAATTATTTAAAGAAAGAAATTACTGTTAACGTACATAGTTTAGTAAACAATCGCTTTCACGCTGAAATTATTGCACTAAAATTTGTGGAAAAGTGGTACTGCACTAAATGTGATTTAACTAAATCCAATTTGTCAACAGTATTGAACATATATTCTGAATAACCATGATATACATGTTGCTGTTTCTACATACTACACAGCATATCGTAAACACACCCAATCAACACATGTACTCAACTCATATACACAAGGACGCCGTTCTTAATCACCATAGCTGTTGATAGGACGTTAAATAATACAGTGTATAATAGCATACCAACTCGCCTCACATACACCGAGAGGCCGTCCTGGATTCACCAAAGCTGTTGATAAGACCCTAAACAATATTAAACTATACCAACTCGCCTCACATACACCGAGAGGCCTTCCTTAAACGACCTTAGTTGTTGACAGGACCCTAAACAATATTAAACCATACCAACTCGCCTCACATACACCGAGAGGCCGTCCTGGATTGACCAAAGCTGTTGATAAGACCCTAAACACTATTAAACCATACTTACTCGCCTACCATACACCGAGAGGCCTTCCTTAAACGACCTTAGCTGTTGATAAGACCCTAAACAATATTAAACTATACCAACTCGTCTCACATACAGTGAGAGGCCATCCTGGAATGACCAAAGCTGTTGATAAGACCCTAAACACTATTAAACCATACCAACTCGCCTCACATACACCGAGAGGCCTTCCTTAAACGACCTTAGCTGTTGACAGGACGTTAAATAATATTAAACCAGACAATTTCGCCTCACGTTAACCGTGAGGACGTCCTGAAAGGCGAATAGCTGTTGACGTTAAATGATATAAAAAGAAACAACAAAATATACTGACTTGAAGCATGCAGTTCAAGTAATTCTACATGTGAAATGTAATATGTTCTGTCTTAATGTCTCGACAAGTTCCATTGTGGGATTTTATTGTGATGACCACAAAAATAACCCAATATCGAAGCCACTGTAGTTTCTGTATACACAACATACATAAACATTAATTATCGTAAATGTTTCAGCGCAAAACTCGGTAACCAAGATTACATCTAGTATAAACACGTTTACAATATCCATTCTAAGGTATGGTTTATCAATTTCAATAGATACGAAATTATCTTTATTTTGGATAAAATGTGAAATAATATTATTGACCTACTACCAGTCAGAATTGTTAGATAAACATTAATATGGTACCAATGAACACTTATATACACAATAATCATACCCTGTCATTTCAATACCTCTTAACTCTGTATGTCACACTGCTACGTGTACACGTTCATCATACTGTTTGTATACTGTTAAGAGGACACACTCACGCTATATCCTGTTATTTAAGCCTATACTACAATAAGGATAACTTCTCCTTGTTTATATATTTGTAGCTTATAACACCTCACATTCAAAGTCTACTGCTCCTCAGTCGGTCGCGTGTTGCGAGTGCTACAACATAATTCACTACCTTTAACATTGGCTGACAATTAAAACGAAATATCTTTCGTGCTTGATTACAAACATCATGGCTACTTCACAAGCAGTCTTGTCAACAGCTGTGGTACAATTGAACGTTACCACCTCTACAACTAGTGTGTTGCAGACCGTAATGAAAAGCACAACTGCCGAACCTGCCGAAAACACATTCCGTATTTGTGGATCAAGTGACAATTGCCTGTGGACCATATTTTCGCCGATAATTTTTCTCGTTGGAATATTCGGTAACATTTTGAATGTGCATGTTTTGCGTCGTTTAAAGTTTTACGAAAACGCCACACTATCTCTGTTGTTTGTGCTAGCCTTTGTCGATATGACAGTTCTCTGTGTAGGACTTGTCCGATCGTGGATACGAGCCACGTTTGATGTTGAAATTCGAGATGTTTCTGGTTTCAGTTGCAAATTTCTTTTGTTCTTGATCTATTTTTCCATGCATATGTCATCTTGGATTTTAGTCCAGGTAACCTGTGTCAGATTTGTAAAAACTGTTTTGCTGGACAACCGTTATAACACTGTAAGGAAGTTGGTCACAAGAAGAAACAGCATAATTACGCTTTGTATAATCAGTGGTTGTCTGGCTGCTTTGGATTTTCATTACTTTTTCACAAACGGCATCAAGGATGGTGAATGCAATTCTCTAACAGCCGAGATTTTCGAATTTGAAGAGTTCGTTTTTACCTATGTCGATCTTGTTGTATTGGTTATAATTCCTGGAATTATAATGATCGTGTTGAATATTCTTATCATAAAACAGATAAAGAAACTTAGATGTAATAAACGACTCTCCACTGGATCGGATGGAAGCAACAGAATGGCGCGGAAAGGACAACAATCAGTATCGAAAATGACAAAGATGCTTGTGTTTACAACTTTTTATTTCGTCGTTGCGAGTCTTCCAATTTGTATCTACCTCATTGTGGATTCGTATGTTCGCCCTAGAGCCAATTCCGACGAGGAGTACCGACTTGATCTACTGCGAGCCTGTGTGTATTTGTTTCAGTTCACGCATTTTGCCAGTAACTTTTATTTCTACACTGCTACCAATAAAAAATTCAGATTGGAGCTCGGCAAGATCTGGAGAGGCGTGGGAAGAATGTAGGTATCACACACCGTATAAGTAAATTTCATTCGGCTGATAGTTCTTAGTCGTCTCTGTTCGGGCTAGTTCACGACATTGCTGGTGGATTTTTAAGTCCCCAAGATTCGCCGTAACCTGCATGTCACTTTTAGATTCATTCATGGTTCAGAAACTACATTGATGATTGACGCTTTTCTGAATTTATCTTGTATGTAAAATGTACGAAATTTATATAATTATAGGGGCGCTCTACGTCCCCGTCTAGATTTTGACTTTTCTTCCAATCATTCATCAGTCGTATCCTACGTTTCAAAAGTATGTATAATATTACTGACAAATCCAAAATGGACGCCGAAACAGCTGTATGATGCAGTTTGATTAATTGTTTTACTTGTCTGTATGTAACTCTCGGTTATAATAAGGTGTTATTCACTTGTTTAACTCTTGTATGATCTTGTGTATCTCTATGTATTGGTATTCATATATGACGGCATGCAAATAAAATTATATTGTCGTATCAAACATCGATTGGCGATAGGCTTAGTTGTTTTGAAAGTTTTGAGAAAAAAACAGACTGATGAAGACACTGTATACAACAAATTTCAGCGATGATCTAATTTTAGCGATTTTAACACTTAAGATATAGCGCTAAAATATAGTTGCGTTAAAACAACCTTTGTGTTTTATGTCTGTAGCATCATCATATATATGCAAGTTCATCATCAAGCTAATCTGGTAAAAATTGAATTTGCACAAAATTGAGTATGTTTGTAATCACTGATAGTTTGTAGTACCGCTATCTGTAATCACTGATAGTTTGTAGTACCGCTATCTGTAATCACTGATAGTTTGTAGTACCGCTATTTGTAATCACTGATAGTTTGTAGTACCGCTATCTGTAATCACTGATAGTTTGTAGTACCGCTATCTGTAATCACTGATAGTTTGTAGTACCGCTATCTGTAATCACTGATAGTTTGTAGTACCGCTATCTGTAATCACTGATAGTTTGTAGTACCGCTATCTGTAATCACTGATAGTTTGTAGTACCGCTATCTGTAATCACTGATAGTTTGTAGTACCGCTATCTGTAATCACTGATAGTTTGTACCGCTATCTGTAATCACTGATAGTTTGTAGTACCGCTATTTGTAATCACTGATAGTTTGTAGTACCGCTATTTGGCCCTTATCGGTATTTTTATTATTGTTTTTGTTTGTTTGTTTTTTTTTTTTTTTTTGTTTCGTTATGACGTTCTTTTCTATATATCCTATTCCTGTTAATATGCCTGCTGATTTCTGTATATCATATGGTTCTATTTTGTGGCATTACGATTGGGTTGACATTGGTGTATGTAATACTTTTATGTTTTATGTTTATTTCATCCTTAAAACGATTTCCTTGTTCAATTATCCCCACCCCCCCACCCCCCACCCTCCTTAAAAGGTTTGCACCGGTTAATTTAGAAGAGATTTTGTAGCACCTATTTTGCAAAATTACGAATCTTTAAAAGTCTCAGTAACATTCTACATACTCCAGCACAATTGCTCTTAAGCTTATAGTGTTTTTAAACATTTAATATTTTAATCTACCGTGCCCATTTTTACTAATTCCGATACATGTCGCTGGTAAAAGTCCATTTTTGCGGTAGTGTAATCACAACATACAGCTACAAATTTCAGAACACGTTATAATTACTCATTCATGTGTATTTTAAGAAGGAAAAAAATCAATTGTTTATCGTCGCTTTACTACAATGTTTAACTGTGTTGACATCTTTAATGTTCAAAGTCAAGCGACCTCATCGTCCTTAAGAGATGACGTCATTCTTCTTGACATTGTTTATATTAATAATTATATTATATATTAATATGCAAATGAGAAATTTTGGTTACTGTATATCGTGATTATACTACCGCACATTATTTTTACTGTCCAATCAAATGTCATGTAACATTTTGAATAAGAATGATGTTCGTTAACATCGATTATCGTGGGAAAAGAGCACATGTATGCGTAATGATTTCGATAATTATTTCTATTGCTGTTAGGATCTACAGTACATATAATATATTTATATCACCAGAGAATGTTTATTGGAATATAAAATAAAGTGTTGTATTTTTTTTTTCATTTAGATTCAGTCCCGTCCATTCTTCAGATCCGTCGAGCAGCAATGAATACCATCTACGATCAGGAACTGGTGACACGTGATTACTATGTCACCATGACTACAGAAATCACGCGCTAACAACGACCGGAAACAATGATGTCATTGTCGCCCATATATGTAAAATATCTTCAGGTATTATCGTGTGAGATACGTTGATAGGTCAACCACGTGTTCCTGTAATGCAGACAATCAAGTGTGAAGTTTTTGTAAAGACGGAAGGCACTTTATGTGACGTAAAGAGTTATCTAACGTGTTTGTCTCCAGAGAAATGATACACACCAAAAAGTTTCCTCATGTGGGAAAAAACTTTAAAATACTCTTGGACGGAAACAAATATCAAATGCCGAACCTAGAATTTCAAGTCATAATCTGCACATCCACTGGACAGTTGACGTCACGTGGAAATGTCTCTATCTTTTGGGGAGTGTTTGAATATCTAGACGATTATACCTAAAACGAAACACGCGTCGCTCCAAGAAAATGATCGCACGCTCGATGGATTGCCTGATATTGCCACCTCTGCCACCATTTTTTACAAGTGTTATACCTTTTAATCTATATGTAAATGAATGGGGTGGGGAGTGGGTTGAGTGGGTTCCGTTATGGCACAATAAAGTGATTTATATCAATAAAATCGACTTCATCTTTATCATGGACTGTTGCATTGTGGGGATCTCGGTATCGTGTCTATGCCGATAGATTTGAACGTTATTTTACGTTTCTGTAGACAGACATTAACGGAACAATTAAGTAATAATATTTCGTAAAAACAACGCGTATCTGTCATAGTTATAATATACAAAGATATATAAACGATTTTGCTTAACACTATTTCAACAAATTTATTAGCAATAGTATAGTTGCAGTAAGACAAGTTTTACATCACAGCAAATAGTCTTTCCAGTTTAATGACAGTAAAGACTCGTTAGTTTGCCTGTTGGTTCTGTTGTTGTATACTTCGTTCTCATTTGAGAACGTGACATTTCTTTCTTGGATTGATCAATGTTTACATGGTCGGTGTCGTCGAAGAAGCAGAAGACGTTTACTCTTGCGGAACACCTGGAATTATTATCCTTGCATTTGTCGTTGAGCAAATCTTTCTTTTGTTCATATTTTGCCCTAATTTTCTTGAATTAGTGATTGAATTATGATTATTTTGACAGGCTCTTATTTTCGTTTTGTTTAGCGTAGTTCCACTTGTATAAGTACTAGATATTATTTTCAAGATTAAATTTTTGTTTATATTAAAACGATGTTATTTAATTAATTGTTTCTATTACCCTAACCCTAATATACAAGTTTTTTTTGCAAAACTTCATCTTGATATGTGGATAGAACAAGATAATGGCATGTCTTAATCCTACTACACGAAGTAATTGAACAATTCTATGATTCAATACGTTGTACAGCTGTATAAATTTAATGGACAACATCTTATCAATACAATCCAATCACTACATAATATTTTATTAACATAATAATGAAACAAATTAAAAGTATATTCTTTACATTTTGTACCTTTGTTCGTGTGGTATCTCCCTATACACGTCTGTCCGCATATTACCATAAACAAACAAACAAATAACCAATATAAAAAATAACAAACAAAAAGAGTGTTCTAATTCTCTAAACGTAAATACAAACAAATAGGATTTAAGTTTGTATTATACATACAAAGAATTTGTCACATCAAGCTGCTTTCTCACACTTAGTGACGCTAAACGCAAGGAAAGGAAACTTTTCTGTGAATTTTATTCATTGCATAATGTATACGCGGGAGACGAGTAACGTGTATGTCCGCATCGGTAAAAGCTGATTTTTGTTATACACAGTGACCTTGGTTTTTATCTACATATTCCTTCCTCCAGATAGAACAGCTTTTCCTGTCCTTCCGTGTGTGTCAGTGTCGAAACAATGACGTTTTGTACATGGTTCCGCCAATATGTGGCCACCTCACGAACAATATCACGTGTCCTATTGGCGGGACAATTGTGTTTACATATATATATTGAGTCCTTTGTTAACTTAAATGTCCCGGTCATTGTTTCAAACTAGTGAATTGGAATTCATTGTTGATTTTTCTTTTTTCATTATTATTTTTATTAATATCATTTAAAATAACATTTAACACAGTACACGTTGTAATGTGAACATAGGTTTATAACAAACCTTTACTAACAATGCATTGTTTAGGTAGGGTTCAGAGCGTAGGACTCGCCGCTGTTGACAGGGCGGAAAACCCAGCTAAACACATTCAATAACTTACAGTCATGCTACAAATGTATAATCTTTAGTATGTTATACTATGTTAACATATATTTTACTTATTACTCTTTATCTCCATTTCTATGTCTCTTCCTCTCTCGCTTTCTCTCTCTCTTTCTCTCTCTCAGGCTGTGTTTTTTTAGATGTGCATGTCTACATGTCTGTTATGAACGTAAATGTGTATGGATGTGTGGATGGGCAGATATGTAATGGATTGCATGTATGTGTGATAATGATGAAATAGATGATGATGGGAATGATGATGATTATCATCGTCATCATGATAGGATTTGATGCAGGCGATGATATGAGTGATGCAGATGATGATGATGATGATGATGATGATGATGATAAAAAATCATTACATGTATGTGTGCATGAATGTATGAAAATGTATGCATGATTGAGAGTGTGTTTCATGTAATTATGTATTATGTAAAACATCTTATAAAAACAAAATAAATATAAACAAAATGTTATACTATGTTAGAATAATCACGTCCATACAACAAATGTATTGAAAAAGTTAATCAAAATACGAACAGTGTAACTTTAAGTTAAGAACATTTCTGAATCTACAGTTTACCATTTCTTCCGGTCAATTTTGAATGTCTTTTTTACACTTTTTAATCACAATAATAATACAACAATTTTATAAATACAAAATGTGTAACTGAAAAATGTCCTCACTGAGAAAAATTTAATTTCTTTGTGCGATATGAAGCTGGACATGTTCGATGCTAGTAAATATACCTGGTCGCTCCTTAATTGTTTCCGTTGTTTCATACATAATTCTTTTTTGGAACGTGACACTATTTACTTATCTTTACAATCATTCATATAACGGTTGTCGTCATTGAAGCAGAAGACGCTAATTCTTCTGAAACACCTGTTCTGATCTCCTTGAGGATTCTCCTTTTAATGTTCTGCTCATTTTGTTGGATTTAATGTCAGCTTGGATTATCATCTATTGATATGTTGCTAGGCTAGTTTCATTTTTTGTTTTTGTTTTTGTTTTTGTTTTTGTTTTTTTTTTTTTTTGACAACGACAATATTAAACGATGATTGTTTTATATTATGTTAGGACCTTGTCCGTTTACTGATAGCGAAAGGGACATGCTGCAAATGTAGCAAATTTAACATCAACGCAAGGCTTATGAAGCGTTTTTTTAAATTGGTTGCCTCCCTTTCATTTTGCCCCTCCCCATTTAGTCTGCGACATTATGTATTTTCCTGAATTATTTGATATTTTTATTATTATTATTATTATTTCATGACATTTATGAAACTCGACTCAAAAATCTTGGATTACACAAGTTCACATAAAATAAATACATACTGGATAGATGGCGATGACTCACACGGAAATATTTATCCTGCTATCGACATATCCGATCAAGACAAATTTCCGTTTTTGATAGTGTTCTAACAACCCATTAGAATTTAAATCATATTATGGATTACTAATATTGTATCAAAACCATATTTGGGATCAGTGATATTTAATTTTAAAAAAAAACCTATAAAGTTAACACTGAAATATTATCAAAACTATATTGTAATTTTAAGTCCTTGCATCACCATGCGGAAGAACCAAGAGCATCATCAAGTCCGGAAAGGGCGCGTGTTGCGGTATGATTCATTATTTGAACAAAAAACATACAAATGGATGAAACATTTCAATTGAAATTTATAAATGAACAAGTGTACCAGATAATGAATTAACTTTATCATACAAATAGGACTCGTCAGTGATGCCAAAAGGCCCTAATTTGAAATGTTGGAGACGATTGAAAAAAAGATCCAAAGTGATCGACAGTAATGTCAAAACCTAAATTTGGAAGTGCAGTAGCCACATAAATAAATATATCTTAAATTTACCATGTCTGATCATTTTAAAAAGAATATCAGGTACGTGTGCATAATCTAGGCCATGTCACTATCGAATGAATAAAATCGTGGCATAAAGGACAGACATCCTGGACTCCCAATGTCTACAAACTACAACCTCACAAACAACACCCGGGTGAGAAAACTCTTTAATATCTATAAAGCCAAGGCTGCAACAGAATTTAGGAAAACCTCCATTGAGGGCATGTTGTTGCAATAAGAGTTGAGTGATAGATTTATCATTTAGTATATCATTACAACCATACTAAATACGTTAACTCCTCAACTGTTAAGGCAATGACTAATATTTCATATAAATGGACCGAGTACAAAATAGAAGATAGAAATCGATGTGAAATGAGGCTGGGCAGTTTGATGTTTCTTTACTTCTATTTCGGTCTAGTAACGATATTTCCGCTGAAGATATTGATGTATACAAAAGCCTTTCAATACTCAGGACACAAACAATTTAAACACAATTTGATCATGAAAAAATAATAAATGAGAACTCGCGCTCGAGCACACAAAAGTTTTATCTAAGTTCTTAAAAATAAACAAAAGAGAAACAAACAAATTGAAGGGAAATGTAACAACACAAGGTCGGTAACTCTTACAATATGTTGATTAAATTATACTCTATGATATAATTAGCTTTGATATATACATAAAAAAAACAACCCTGAAATCTTATGAAAAGAATGAAAATATAGAAATATGCCTCGGTTTAACAAAAGAAACATATATATATATATACATATATATTTGAAAAGAATTATATATATATATTTGAAAAGAATATATATATATTACAACTTTTTTCTGTCATTACTTTTGTTGCTGTACCGAGATTAGTAATCTCTTATGTTTTGTGTTTTGTCCATCACAATGAGGTCATTTCTCTGAGTCAAACTTTCTATGTTAGCTTATATTAATATATCTGTTTGCACTGAAAACTGTCAATAAAAAAAATTGTCACTTAAATTCCTAAATCAATTACTTATCTACAGTACAATTATTAAACTTTGATTTGATTATAAACAAATATAAGTTCATATTGTCGCCATTTGTAGTTTTTAACCACAGTGATATCTTTTTTCTTCTTACCCTAGATAGGCCTATCCACGCTTTGTACAAATGCGAGAATTATTTGACTCATCTCGGTAACCAGAATTCCCTTCTCATCTCTATGACGTCATGTGAACGATGCGAGAAACTTGGACATCACAAACACATACCTTAGAAGGCCAGCATTAAAATAGAGAAACGTAATAATTGACACCTTTGTTAGTGAGATCTCAACCCTTACCCTAAACATAATAATTCACACCTGTGCTAGTGAGATCTCAACCCTAACCCTAAACATAATAATTTACACCTGTGTTAGTGAGATCTCAACCCTTACCCTAAACATAACAATTCACACCTACGTTAGTGAGATCTCAACCCTTACCCTAAACATAATAATTCACACCTGTGTTAGTGAGATCTCAACCCTTACCCTAAACATAATAATTCACATCTTTGTTAATGAGATCTCAACCCTTACCCTAAACATAATAATTCACACCTGTGCTAGTGAGATCTCAACCCTTACCCTAAACATAATAATTCACACCTGTGTTAGTGAGATCTCAACCCTTACCCTAAACATAATAATTCACATCTTTGTTAATGAGATCTCAACCCTTACCCTAAACATAATAATTCACACCTGTGCTAGTGAGATCTCAACCCTTACCCTAAACATAATAATTCACACCTGTGTTAGTGAGATCTCAACCCTTACCCTAAACATAATAATTCACACCTGTGTTAGTGAGATCTCAACCCTTACCCTAAACATAATAATTCACATCTTTGTTAATGAGATCTCAACCCTTACCCTAAACATAATAATTCACACCTGTGTTAGTGAGATCTCAACCCTTACCCTAAACATAATAATTCACACCTGTGTTAGTGAGATCTCAACCCTTACCCTAAACATAATAATTCACATCTTTGTTAATGAGATCTCAACCCTAACCCTAAACAAAATACTTCACGCATTTGTTAGTGAGATCTCAACCCTTACCCTAAACATAATAATTCACACCTGTGTTAGTGAGATCTCAACCCTTACCCTAAACATAATAATTCACACCTGTGTTAGTGAGATCTCAACCCTTACCCTAAACATAATAATTCACACCTGTGTTAGTGAGATCTCAACCCTTACCCTAAACATAATAATTCACACCTGTGTTAGTGAGATCTCAACCCTTAAACATAATAATTCACACCTGTGTTAGTGAGATCTCAACCCTTACCCTAAACATAATAATTCACACCTGTGTTAGTGAGATCTCAACCCTTACCCTAAACATAATAATTCACATCTTTGTTAGTGAGATCTCAACCCTTACCCTAAACATAATAATTCACACCTGTGTTAGTGAGATCTCAACCCTTACCCTAAACATAATAATTCACACCTGTGTTAGTGAGATCTCAACCCTTACCCTAAACATAATAATTCACACCTTTGTTAGTGAGATCTCAACCCTTACCCTAAACATAATATTTCACACCTGTGCTAGTGAGATCTCAACCCTTACCCTAAACATAATAATTCACACCTGTGTTAGTGAGATCTCAACCCTTACCCTAAACATAATAATTCACACCTGTGTTAGTGAGATCTCAACCCTTACCCTAAACATAATAATTCACACCTGTGTTAGTGAGATCTCAACCCTTACCCTAAACATAATAATTCACACCTGTGTTAGTGAGATCTCAACCCTTAAACATAATAATTCACACCTGTGTTAAACATTACCCTAAACATAATAATTCACACCTGTTAGTTAGTGAGATCTCAACCCTTACCCTAAACATAATAATTCACACCTGTGTTTGTGAGATCTCAACCCTTACCCTAAACATAATAATTCACACCTGCGTTAGTGAGATCTCAACCCTAACCCTAAACAAATAATTCCACCTTACCCTAAACATAATAATTCACACCTGTGTTAGTGAGATCTCAACCCTTACCCTAAACATAATAATTCACACCTGTGTTAGTGAGATCTCAACCCTAACCCTAAACATAATAATTAACACCTGTGTTAGT